TCCCGTGACGGCCCCACACCCGCCTGCCGCTGTGGGGCTGAGGCCCGGGTGAGGCCCCGAGACGCAGACACAGGGAGAGCGGCCGCACCTCCGGCCTGGTCCCAATGGCGGCCTCGCCCGGTCTCTGTCGTCCCCTGTCTCTCCCACCAGGGCCCACCTCCTCCCAGTAACCTGGCCCCCTCCCCAGAGCCCTCCCCAGACCCAGCCTGGGTTGCCTGGGCCTCCCAAGGGGCTGAGAGGGAAGGAGGCCGGGGCGGGCCGCCTGCTCCCCGCTCCCGCCTCCCTGGCCACCGGACACCTGGGCGGCTGCGGTCCCTCCTGGGGGTCCCCGTGGCCTCACACCTGAGCCTGAGCAGGAACCGGGTTCAGGTTCCCGCTCCCCTTCCCAGCCCTACCTCTCACCCCCCCTCTGCCCGACCCCACACCCGGCCCAACAGCACATCTCCCGCTCCTGCCTCCCCTCCCCTCGCCCGCCCAGACCTCCCAGCACTTCCCAGGACCCTCTCTGGAAGCAGCCCTGCCCCGGCCCCTGCACACCAGTCCCTACCACCCTCTTCCTGTTGGGGGACAGCTGGGTCCCTGACGAACCTTCCCTCCAGGCCGTGGGCTCTGCCGGGCCAGGGCTGCTCTGAGTCACCCCCAAACGCCCCGCCGCCAGGCAGGGCCAGTGTGGAAGTGCTGTCAGACGGGTGGGGGCATGAACAGACGGACAGGCAGGCAGATGGACAGACATGACAGTGGCTTACTCTCTGTGGGTGTGGTTGCCACTCCTGGCACCCCTCCCCGGGGCAGCTGGGGTTTCCATGCCATGTCCTCCTCCCCATCAGAGGTCCTGGGACAGGCCCCTCTGCCCAGCGGCTGGCCCTGCCACCTCCCGGCTGCGGCCCCGCCTGCCCTGGGGCTGGGATCTGGTGCCATCGGCGGCACGGCACAGCCACACCCTCCCGGCCTGCCCTGCCACCCTTGGCTGCAGCACAAGCCTGCCATTCTTGGCAGGACAAAGGCAGCCGGCGGGCGGGTGGCTCTGGTGTCTCCCTGGTGGGATCTGGCTCTGCAGGATGTGAGCCACGGCGTCTGGTGGCCAGGCCTCTGCTCTGGGGGCTGCAAATCCAATTACCCGGCCCTGCCCGGCCAGGCGGCTCAGCCCCAGGAAGAGCAGCTGCCAGACGGTGGGGTCAAGGTCACGCCTTCTCCTCACCGACCCCCGTGTCCAACCTGCACGACCGGCAGTTTGAGGGGCACCTGGGAGGCCTCCTCAGGGTGGGATCCAGGAATGCTCCCAGTGCCGGTGTCACACCATATGCCACCTGCCACGGGCATCAGCCCTGCCACCTCCACAGTCCTGCCCTCAGCCCACCCCCAGGCCAGCAGAGCTCAGTGGGCAGCCCTCACCCTGAGACCCACCTGCCCCAGGGCTGGGTGAGAGAGAGAGGCAGGGGAGCACTCCTATATGTCCGTATCTCCACATCCACCCACCCATCCATCCATCTACTCGTCTGTCCATCCATAATTCATCCATGCATCCATCCATCCTTCCATTTGTCCATCCATCCATCCATCCACCCACCCATCCATCTGTCCATCTATTTACCCATCCGCCGTCCATCCATCCCCTTACTCATCTGTCCAACCAGTATTTAATGAGCATCTACTTGTGCCCGGCCTCAGTAAAGGGCAGGAGAGGCACTGCCCTCGCCCTGACTCTGTTGGGGGGAGGAACAGGCAGGGAATGTGGCCAGGATGGGGGGAGCACGGGGGTCGGGAAGCACTGGCCTTCTCGGTGTCCCCCAAAGCCTTGCTCCTCCACCTGACCGCTGACCACAGGGGCCCCGAGGTTCAGGGAAGAGGGCGCGGCCCCAGTGCTCACAGGTGCCTCAGGCCTGCAGAGCACCAGCTAGCCAGCCGGGGTGGGCAGGGGGGCAGGCAGCGCCAGCCACGTCCCTGTTACAGAGTCAACTACAGTCCCAGACCACACAGAGCGGCTAGGGAGAGGGGTTCTGGGCTGCAGGCGGGCGGGGCGGGCCGGGCTCCACTCACAGCTGCTGGCGGCTATTCTTCTCACGGGCAGTGCCCACCCAGCTGCAGGAGCGGGACCAGCTGCTGCGTCTGCACCCCTCCTCCTGCCATAGGCTTCTGCGCCAGCCCCTCCCATCTCTCAGGCCTGGGCCGGGCCTCAGGGCACTGTGGCCGGGCTGTCACTGCCCTGAGGAGGCCGCAGGCCCCTGGCATCGAGGCTCCAGGCTGCCAGTTCTCTGTGCCTCACACCACCCTGGAGGGCAGGGTCTCCGTTGTCAGATGGGGCGTCATGAGCCAGCACCCAGCTCTGCCCCTGCCACCACCTTGAGTGGAGCTGGGGACGTGCCTCCCTCCTGGCGGGGCGGAGGCTGTCCCGGGACGCTGAGCGGGACCACCGCCTCGGATGACTTCCTGCGAGTTAATGGGTCACCCATTATGTCTCCCGGATCTTCCCAGGGAGAGACGGCCCAGGGAGGACAGCCAGGGCCCGGCGCCCTGGAGAAGGGGCTCCAGGGCCCCAGTGGGAGTTGGGCCTGAGCCCCAATGGGGTTGCAGGGCCCCCTCCGCCCTCACCCGCCCCACCCCTTCCCAAGCACTGTAAGCCCCAAGGCGCTTTCTGGCAACCTGGCCAACACTCCCGGCCGCCCATTCCGGTCCGAGCCCAGCGCCGCCCCCATCCACCTCCACGCTATGAGGGTCGGGCGGGGAGTGTCTCAGACGGGGGCTGCCCTGACCTCCCCCTACAGTGTTCAGACTCAAGGAGTCACCACGAAATTCCATTCTCCTGACAGCAAAGAAACCGAATCGCCCTGCCAAAGCCCACGGCCCCACAAGAATGCCGCAGGCTTTGTCCTGCGTCCCAGACAGGCGGCCGGCCCCACTCCCACACGCCCGAGAGGGCCAGGAAGCCCCGCCGGGCGCCATGCCGGCCCCGCAGCGGGGCCAGTCCCGCCCCCTCACCGGGCAGCAGCCTTCCCCAGCCTCACGCGCGTCCACGCAGTGGGCACACGGCTCCTGCTGGCCCGCAGGTCAGAGGGCTGGGCGGCCTGAGCCGAAGCAAGCAGGGTGCTGTGGGGCTGGCTGGGCGGGAGATGGGGGAGGGATGGGGCAGGAGGCAGTCTGCTGTCCCTCCCGCCTCCAGCAGGTGCTCAGGCCTCGTGGGTACCACTCACTGCTGACCTCAGTCCCAGGAACAGGGCACAGTCGTGCAAAGGTTTGGGGCGCATCGATTGGGGGGGGAGCTGAAGGAGAATGAGGAGGGAAGGCAGGAATCAGGCAGACACGGGCCGGCCAGGGCAGGCGCACAGACGAGGGCCAGGACAGGGCGGAGGCCGGGCAGCCCTGGGGGTTTGATACACGTGGGCGCCTGGTGGGAGCGGAGTGGCTGGCTCTGGGTGGGGGTAGGTGACCAGGTGGGCGGGGGACACGGAGATGGGTCTCAGGGCCGCCCCAGAGGTCCAGGGGAGAGGAGGCGGCAAGGAGGCGGCTCTGTCCCAAAAGAGCCCGGACTTGGACTGGACGGGGTTGGGGCCGGTGGAGGGAGGGCTGTGCAGCACCGACACCCTCAGACAGAGGCTGGTGCTGGCCTGGGCTCAGGGGCTGTTTGGGGGAGCCCTCCCCGGCATTGGGTCCGCCCTGCCCACGCCCTCCCCTCTCCAGCCGCCTGGGTCCGGGCTGGGCAGGCCGAGGAGGGAGGGTTTATGGCAGGAGGCACACGGCGGGGAGCTTGTCACTGGGGCACCATCTGCTCCGGCATCTGCCGCCGGAGGTGCCTGCTAATTACCTGGGGCGTCAGGCAGAGCCTGGGAACCGCCGTCCCCCACCCCACCCACGGCTGGTGGCCGGCCGGCCAGCAAATGGGCCAGCAGGCCTGGCCTCTCGGTGGCCATTCAGGGACATGCGAAGGACTACGGGGCCAGCGCAGACAGACAGAGGGACAGGCGGGGAGATAGGGGCGGTGGGCGGGGGGGGGGCGGCCAGGGGAACCTGGTGGTCCCGGAGCAGCAGCGGGAGGGGAAGGAGGCCCAGCCAAGCGGAGAGCCGCCCTGGGCCGCGCCTCCGGGCCGGAGGGGGATCAGACCCCCACCCCACGCTGGGGGCCCCTGGCCACTTCCGGCCCCTCTCCCCTCACCCTCGCGGCCTGCAGGCCACATTCCTCCGCCCTTGCGCGTGCGGCGGCGGCCGGCCCGTGGGAAGGCGGGGCGGGGGGCCCACATCTGCCCGGCCGGAGGGCTAAATGGGCAGGAGGCCGCCGCCTTTCATCCGGGCGGGCGGGCGGGGCGGCCGGGGCTCCGCGCCACGGGACGCCGGAGTCCGGGACCAGCCCCGGCGTTTGGCGGGGTCCCAGGGACGGCCACGGGCCGGGGGCACGGGTGCAGGTGCGGTCCCGGCACCTCCCTCCCTCCCACCTGCGCCCCGGCACCGGCACCGGAGACAGCCGCGCGGTGCGGCCTCAGCCCCGCCCGCCCAGCGCCCGGCCCGCGCGGCCCGGGAGGAAGCCGGGCTCCGGAGGGAAGCGCCCGCGGGGAAGCGGAGCGTCCCTGTGGGGTCCGCGGGCCCAGCGAACCCTCCGCGGCCGGACCGCAGGGCCGCAGAGCCCCGGGCTGCCCGCGGGGAGCCCCCGGAGGGCGGGGCCGCCCCGGGGCGCAGAGGCGGGGCCGCGGCGCCCTCCGCGGTTCCCAGACCCCCGCGGGGCCCACGTGGGCGCGGCAGGGCCCGGGGACCATCGGCGCGAGGCCCCGCCCCCGGAGCCAGGGAGCGCGTGGCGGGGCCGTGGCTTCGCGGAAGGCCCGCCCCGGGGCGGGGCCAGGCCGGATACTAAGGGCGCGTGTGGGGCGTGGCCTAGCGTAAGTTCCTCCCCAGGGCGTGGCCAGGCCCTGGGACTTTAAGGGCGTGTGGGGGCGTGGCCTCGCGGAAGGCCCGCCCCGGGGCGGGGCCAGGCCGGAGGCTTTAAGGGCGCGGGCCGGGGGGGGCGCCGCAGGACGCGCAGCGGCCGGGCGCTCGGCTCGGGTGCGGCGGCGCCAGCGGGCAGCGCACCCAGGATGCTGAAGCGCTGCGGCCGCCGCCTGCTGCTGGCGCTGGCGGGGGCGCTGCTCGCCTGCCTGCTGGTGCTCACGGCCGACCCGCCGCCGCCGCCGCCCGCCGCGCGCGGCCGCCGCGCGCTGCGCAGCCTGGCGGGCCCCGCGGGGGCGGCGCGGGCGCCGGGGCCGGGCGAGGGGCGCAGCCTGTCCGAGGTGCGGAGTCTGTCCGAGTACTTCGGCCGGCTCACCCGCGCGCGCAGGGACGCGGGCCCGCCGCCCGGGGGCGCCGCCCGCCCCCCGCGGCCCCCGGCCGAGCGGCTGGCGCCCCGCGACGTCTTCATCGCCGTGAAGACCACCCGGAAGTTCCACCGCGCGCGCCTCGACCTGCTGCTGGACACCTGGGTCTCCCGCCACCCGGACATGGTGAGCCCCGCCCCGGGCCCCGAGGGCCCGCTGCCCAGCGCGGCCCGGTCCGGTGGCCCCGTCCCTGCCGCCGCCGGGGGTGTGTCCACGCCGTCCGGCCCGGCCTGCCGGTGTGCCCGGCGGGAGCGCCGTCCCGGCCGAGGTGGAAGGGGTGGGTCCCCCGGAGCCCAGGGCGCCGCGCAGACCTACACCCGCCGCCAGGCTCGGGCTTGGAGCCCTGGGGTGCTCTTGCCCCCAGGCGTTGGGGTGCAGTCAGGGCGCCAGCACCCCAGATTCCGCCTGGGGCACCCACCCTGCGCCCCGCTTCCCTGCGGAGAGGCTTTTCTTAGGGGTGGATGGGGGCCTCGGCGCAGGCAGGGCTCCCCTGGCCGGTGCTGTATGGGATGGAGAACAGGTCACTGGGATAACTGGAGCTGGCGGTGGTGTGGGGCCCGGGAGAAAGAGCCGGGTTTGGGGTGCAGAGGAGCTGGGCGGGTGTCTAACGCTCCAGCTGAGCATCCACTTCCTCCACGCGGCACGCCCCACGCCGGACACCGGCCGGGACACGGGCTCCGGGCGCAGAGGGCGGGCGGGGTGCCCGGGGCCTGGCGGCCAGGAGAGCCCGGGGACTGGCTGGGCATTCGGGGTGAGGGCCAGGGGTCCTCGTCTGGGGTGGGGCCTGGAGAAGACCCCTCCCTCTTCGTCCCGCCTCAGCCCCCAGGCCCCAGACTGTCCGGCCCCAGTCCCGCTCCGGGTCGGGGTGCTGCTGAGGTCATGACGAGGGCGAGGGGCCGGGGGCTCGTCGGGGCGGCCTGGGGGGGCCGGGCGCCGGGGCGGCTCCTGGGAACGCGTCTTCGCAGCGGCTCCGGCGGGCGGCCGTTAGGATTCCCAGCGCGGGGCGGCTCTCACGCCGGCCGCCGGGCAAGGTAACAAAGCGCCTTTCTCCCCGGCGGCCCAGCCTCTTGTGTGCCGCGCTGGCTCCATGGGAACCGCCGCGCTGGCCACTCAGGTTGCCTGGCGATGAGGGTCCCGGCCCCCCCATGGCTCTGACTGACAGTCCTGCCGGCCGCCCGCCCCGCCGCCCCTGCTGTGTGACCTCCGGCCCCCGGCGCCTCCGTGGTGCAGGGCGCGGGCTCTCTGCCCGGGAGGGTCCCCGGTTCCCGTCCCCTCAGAGGTTCCCGTCTCGGAGCCTCAGTCTGCCCGTCCCTGCAATGGGACGCCTTGCCTTCCGGGGCTGAAGAGGCAGGCTGCCTGGGCGCCGAGCCCAGCGGGCACTCGGGGGCAGGGAGGGGGCGCACGCCTCCCCCAGATGTAGGGCTGCGCTTCCATCCTGCCGATGACCCCCAGGAAGGGCCCGCCTGGCCCGGGCACAGTTCCCGTGGGCAGAGGGTCCGCCTGGCCCGGGCAGGGTGATTCAGACCCGCTGAGGGGAGAAGGAGGAAGTCAGGGCTGCGGTGGGGGAAACCCAGGGAGGCTGTGTGAGTCTGAGTGGGCAGCTGACCCGCGAGGGGCAGGGGGACTTCCTGGAGGAGGCGCCTTTCGGGCAGACCGAGCGGAAATGCCCAGAGAGAGCCGTCCAGGCCCCATCAGCACGGCGGGCGGGGGGAGCTGCCCAGCACTGGCAGTGACCGGGGTCCGGGCAGCAGGGCCACCCGGAGCCGGGCCCTGGCGGCAGGGTGAGGGGCTGGGCCTCGGCCCTCGGGGCCCCCTCCCGGCGCGGCGGGCGGCGGTGGCAGCGGCCACAATGGAGGGGGAGAGCCTGGCATCCTGTGTTTCTTCGAACCGCGGCGCCGGGAACAATGCCGCTTCCTGTGGCCCCCCCTCGCCAGCCCTGCCGCCTGCCCTTCCTCCCCCTGCCCCGCGGCGGGGAGCGGGGAGGGGCCCCGGGGTGTCTCGCCGGCCCCCGGAGAGCCAGGCCGGCTGGACGGTTTCCCGCCTGTGCCCACCTCGGAGGGCGCTCTGCGCCGGGCACAGCTCCGGCTCGCCCGTTGGTTGGGCGGGAAACGGCCTCTGAGCGGTGGGGGGGCCGCGCCCGTCCCCCCGCCGGCGGCTCTGATGTGCAGACGGAGGCCCTGCCCGCCCGCCCCGCCCTCCGGGCCTCCCCACCTGGCTCTCCCCACAAAGGTGACTTTAATCTCCGTAGCCGCGGGCCCGGTTTTCAGGGTGGCGAGCGGGGAACAGGCCCCGCTTGATCTCATTAGGAAAGCATTTTCCTTCTAATCCTCGGGGCGTCCGCACAGGCCGGCCCAGCCTCCCACGGCATTCCTGGCGGAGCCGGGAGCGGCGGGCGGGGGGCCGTGCGTGTCTGTGCGTGCGGGCCCCGGGGTGTCTGCGGCTCCGTGGGGAGGCGGTGGAGGGGGCCACTGCAGCCCCCTCAGCGCAGAGCCTGGGTCCTGGGCTGTGGCCGCGGGGCCTGGGCTGGGGGAGGAGCCGGCTCCAGGTGCGCTGCCCCCAGGTGGCCCGGCCGGGGCGTGCACGCGGGCCAGGCCTGCACATGCCGATCGGTGCACAGGAGGCAGCCGGCGCCTGGCGGCACGGAGGAGGGGAGTCCCCGGCTCCCGCTCAGCCGGCCGGCGCACCCCGGCACGCGCTGGGCGGGCGGGCGGAGGAGGGAACATTCTCCCTCCGGATGCCGACGGGCCCCGGCCGGCCCAGCAGCTCCTGGCCCCGCCCGCCCCCGGAGGCTCCATCCTGGCCGGGGCAGCCCTGCTGGCACAGGTGAGCCCTGGATGTGGCTCGGCCGGGTTCCCGCCTGCAGCCGGGGCGGGGTGCTGGCGGCGTGCGGGGCACCGGCAGGCCGGCAGGCTGGGGCGTGCGCCGGCCGCCTGCTCCCTGCGGACCGTCTGTGTCTCCGGGAAGGCGGCCGGCCGGCCGGCGGGTCACACAGGGAGTGCCGCCCCTCCCCGGGCGAGGGCCCCCCGCCGGCCTGCCCCGGCGGTTAACCAGGCCAGCTGTATGGAAATGGCCGTGCGGCCACTCTCGGGTAACACCGCCCGCGCCCGGACAGAGCGGACAGTGCGGTGACTCATCCTCCGGACCCTTTGTCCGCGGCCTTGGCAGCTGCCCAGGGCCTTGTCCTCCGCGGAGGGAGGCTTGGCTTCTCGGGGCCTCCTCCGCCGTCCCCTCCGCCCGCCCGCCCGGCCGGCGCTGTGTCAATAAGGGTGTGTGCCCGCCAGGTGCGCCGAGCCGGTTACCTGGCGCTGGCGGCCCGCCCGGCTCCTGCCTGCACAGCTGCCGGTGGCCTTGGGCCCAGCTGTCGCCGTGGGGGTGGGAGTGGGGTCTGCGTAACCCCCAGCCCTCCTTCCACCTGGGCAGCTCGTGTGGGGAAACCGAGGCCCAGAGCAGGGCAGAGTGTGGGCTTGGGGACACCGAGACCCCGTGCCCGGCCCTGCCCCTGCTGGGCCGGGGACACTGGGCGCCTAAAGGCCCCTTTGTCCTTCCAGACTTTCATCTTCACCGACGGGGAGGACGAGGCCCTGGCCCAGCGTGTGGGTGAGCCTGGACCTGGGTGAGGGGCCTCCTGGGGGGGGGGACGTCCCCCAACTTCTCCCTCCCTGGACCTGGGTGAGGGGCCCCTCCTGGGGGGGGGGACGTCCCCCAACTTCTCCCTCCCTGGACCTGGGTGAGGGGCCCCTCCTGGGGGGGGGGACGTCCCCCACCCTCCCTCCCTGGACCTGGGTGAGGGGCCCCGCTCCCGGGGGGGACGCCCCCCTCCCTCTCCCTCCCTGGACCTGGGGCGAGGGCCCCGCTCCCGGGGGGGGGGGACGACCCCCTCCCCCTCCCTCTCCCTCCCTGGACCTGGGTGAGGGGCCCCGCTCCCGGGGGGGGGGGGGACGTCCCCCTCCCCCTCCCTCTCCCTCCCTGGACCTGGGTGAGGGGCCCCGCTCCCAGGGGGACGCCCCCCTCCCTCTCCCTCCCTGGACCTGGGTGAGGGGCCCCGCTCCCGGGGGGACGCCCCCCTCCCTCTCCCTCCCTGGACCTGGGTGAGGGGCCCCGCTCCCAGGGGGACGCCCCCCTCCCTCTCCCTCCCTGGACCTGGGTGAGGGGCCCCGCTCCCGGGGGGGGGGGACGTCCCCCTCCCCCTCCCTCTCCCTCCCTGGACCTGGGTGAGGGGCCCCGCTCCCAGGGGGACGCCCCCCAACTTCTCCCTCCATGGACCTGGGTGAGGGGCCCCGCTCCCGGGGGGGGGGACGTCCCCCTCCCCCTCCCTCTCCCTCCCTGGACCTGGGTGAGGGGCCCCGCTCCCAGGGGGACGCCCCCCAACTTCTCCCTCCATGGACCTGGGTGAGGGGCCCCGCTCCCGGGGGGGGGACGTCCCCCTCCCCCTCCCCCCCAGAGGAGAGGTCGCAGGCCAGAGCGGTTTACTCAGCGGGTCTGCTGGCGCCCGCCCCTCCGCTCGCCCCTCCACCCCCCACCCCCGATTCTCATGCAGATGAGGCCCTTTCAGCCCCGGCCCTTTGAGCAACAGGTGGCCGGTGCTGGGAAAACCGCCTGAATGGGCGCCGGCCGGGGAGGGAGTGCGGTCCCAGGCCGGGTCCCCCACAGGGAGGGGCTGAGCTGGGAACCCACACGGGCGCCCGGGACAGACAGACAGCCGCCCGCTGCCACCGCGGGCCCTGTCTCCGGAGCCGCTCCGCTCTGCAGCCCTCCCCTCCCCACAGGCACCGTCATCAACACCAACTGCTCGGCCGCCCACAGCCGCCAGGCCCTGTCCTGCAAGATGGCGGTGGAGTACGACCATTTCATCGCGTCCGGGAGGAAGTGAGTGGGGCCCGGGCGCCCGCCAGGCCCGCCCCCCAGCTCCCTGCCCCCCGCCCGCCCCCCAGCTCCCTGACCCCCGCACCCCCCACAGCTCCCTGACCCCTGCCCCCCGCCCGCCCCCCAGCTCCCTGACCCCCGCCCCCTGCAGCACCCTGACCCCCGCCAGCCAGGCCCGCCCCCCAGCGCCCTGACCCCCACCCCCTACAGCGCCCTGACCCCCGCCCCCCGCAGCTCCCTGACTCCCGCCCGCCAGGCCCGCCCCCCAGCTCCCTGACCCCTGCCCCCCGCCCGCCCCCCGCAGCGCCCTGACCCCCCCCCCGCCCGCCAGGCCCGCCCCCCGCAGCGCCCTGACCCCCCCCCCCCCCGCCCGCCCGCAGGTGGTTCTGCCACGTGGACGATGACAACTACGTGAACGTGGGGGCGCTGCTGGGGCTGCTGGCCGGCTTCCCGCACGCCCAGGACGTGTACATCGGCAAGCCCAGCCTGGACCGGCCCATCCAGGCCACCGAGAGGCTCAGCGACAACACGATGGTGCGTGCAGGCCGGACCGAGGGGGCGGGGGGGGCGGGGGGGGGCCGTGGTGCCTGCAGCCCGGGGCAGGGTCTCACCCCCCCACCCCCCACAGCGCCCCGTCCACTTCTGGTTTGCCACTGGCGGCGCCGGCTTCTGCATCAGCCGAGGGCTGGCCCTGAAGATGAGCCCGTGGGCCAGGTGAGTCTGAGTCCCGTGTCCGTGTCCGTGTCCGTGTCCGTGTTCGTGTGTGTGTGTGTGTGTGTGTGTGTCCGCATGTGGGCCTGGCTGGGGCCACCGTCCCAGCAGCAGGGGTCCCCAGCCCCATGTGCACAGGCAGGGTGAGGCGAGGCTCCCCCCAGGCTCCCCTCTGCCAGCAGCACCGAGCCCGCACTCAGGCAGGGCCAGGGCCAGACTGCCACACGGCAGCTCCCACTCAGAACCCAGACTGGCCGGGCGGGGGGCTCAGGGAGGGGGGGCTGGCCGAGCCGGGGGGGCTCGGGGGGGGGGCTGGCCGAGCCGGGGGGGGCTCAGGGAGGGGGGGCTGGCCGGGCGGGGGGCTCAGGGAGGGGGGGCTGGCCGAGCCGGGGGGGGGGCTCAGGAGGGGGAGGCTGGCCGAGCCGGGGGGGGCTCAGGGAGGGGGGGCTGGCCGAGCCGGGGCGGGGGGCTCAAGGAGGGGGGGACTGGCCGAGCCGGGGGGGGGGCTCAAGGAGGGGGGGGCTGGCCGAGCCGGGGGGGGGCTCAGGGAGGGGGGGCTGGCCGAGCCGGGGGGGGGCTCAGGGAGGGGGGGGCTGGCCGAGCCGGGGGGGGGGGCTCAGGGAGGGGGGAGGCTGGCAGAGCGGGGGGGGGCTCAGGGAGGGGGGGGCTGGCCGAGCCGGGGGGGGCGGGGGGGCTCAGGGAGGGGGGGCTGGCCGAGCCGGGGGGGGGCTCAGGGAGGGGGGAGGCTGGCAGAGCGGGGGGGGGGCTCAGGGAGGGGGGGGCTGGCCGAGCCGGGGGGGGCGGGGGGGCTCAGGGAGGGGGGAGGCTGGCCGAGCTGGGGGGGGGCGGCTCAGGGAGGGGGGGGCTGGCCGAGCCGGGGGGGGCGGGGAGGCCGGCAGCAGCTGGGGGGGGGGCGGCTCAGGGGGGGGCTGGCAGGCAGGAGGGGGGCTCAGGGAGGGGGTGCCGGCAGGCGGCCTGAGGGGGGCGGGGGCGGGGAGGCCGGCAGCAGCCGGGGGAGGGGGGACGGCGGTGCCCACCCTCCGGAGCCGGCCGCGGCCCCCGCTCACACACCCTCCCGCAGCGGCGGCCGCTTTGTGAGCACGGCGGAGCGCATCCGGCTGCCGGACGACTGCACGGTGGGCTACATCGTGGAGGCGCTGCTGGGCGTGCGGCTCACCCGCAGCGGCCTCTTCCACTCGCACCTGGAGAACCTGCAGCAGGTGCCGGCCGCCCGGCTGCACGAGCAGGTACGGGGCGGGGCCTCACGGGGCGGGAGGGCCGGCTGCTGCGCCCACACCCCAGGTCACCTCCCGCAGGCCACACCCCCTCTGCCTCCCGGGCCTCGTCCTGCACACGGGTCTCCCCTCGCTCTCAGCCCCAGCCCTCGTTCCTGGGCTGCAGAGTTCCAGGTGCCTCACTCCCTTCTCGGCCTGAGAGGGGCAGCGGGCCACGTGACAGCCCGGGCCCAAGGCGGGGTGTGTGTGTGTGTGTGTGTGTGTCCCGCACTACTCCGCCTCTCCCCGCAGGTCACCCTGAGCTACGGGACCTTCGAGAACAAGCGGAACGCCGTCCATGTTAAGGGGCCCTTCTCGGTGGAGGCCGACCCTTCCAGGTGGGAGGCGGAGGCCGGGCCCGGGGTGGCGGGCTGGACCATGGCGTGCCCCAGGCCGCCTGCGAGCACAGGGGCCCCTGGTGCTGGGGCCCCCACCCCACGCAGACCAGGCCCCCTCTCTCCCCGCAGGTTCCGCTCCATCCACTGCCGCCTGTACCCCGACACGCCCTGGTGCCCCCACACCGCCGGCTTCTAGGCTTCCAGCCGCACTGAGACCGTCCGGCCCCGCGGGCCGCCCTGGCGTGGCGCTGGCGCCGGCCGGGCCGTGCCTCTGTGAGTGTACGTGTGCCCGCCGGCCGCTCTGCTCGGCGAGGAGCGGGCCCAGCCCGGCCACGGTGAGGGCGGCTCTGGGGGGCGGGGTCCGTTGGGCAGAAGGGGGTCAGGGCTCCCTGCCCGCTGAGGCCCTTGCCCGGAGCCGCCAGGACAGAAGCTGTGGCTGGAGGACCGTTCCCCCAGCCTCGGGGTCGGGGGTCCTCCCCTCAGAGTCTTGCCTTTGTCCCCCGACGGGGGCAGAGCTGAGCGTGTTCTCTCCCAAGTGGAGGCCAGTCGCCCACAGTGGGCGTGTCTGTAAATACGTGGCAGTGTTTTTACTGCGCTGTTTCAGGGGGGCGGGCTGTGAGAAGTGGGTGTCCTTGTCTTGTTCTCGGGAGTGGGGAGGGTGTGGTCACTTGGCGGCACCTCCGGGGTGGGGGTGGGGGTCGAAGCTGAGGCCGAGCGGTCTGTCTGCTGCTGTTCCTGCTGCCGGCAGGCGGAATGAGGGGCCGTGCTCAGGGAGTCCTGTGGTTGCTATGGTGACGTCCTCGCTGTGAATAAAGTGAATAAAGGTGCCCTCGGGCAGTGCTCCGGGTCCTGTCACTGCCTTCCCTCGCGCTCGCTCGCAGGGGGAGGAGAGGAGAGGAGGGACTCGCTGGGGCCGGCCGGCCTGCTGACGCCCTCACAGCCACAGAGGCCACTGCCGGCCGCACTGCAGATGGGGTGGCTGGGGAGGCTGGGGAGCAGGCGAAGCCCAGGGCCTGGCAGCTGGGTGTGAAGGGCTCGAACCCGGAGGCCACGCTGCCCCAGGCCCTGGCCTCCCCGTGCTGGTCTCTGGGCAGCTGCATTCCAGCGCACCCCACACGCACGTGCACACACCCCCGCACACGGGTCCCAGCTGGAGGGGCTGCTCCCGGAGCAGCGTGGGCAGCCCGCACTTCCTCTTCCTCCCGACCTCCTCGGGCTCCCGCCTCCACTCTGCTCCGAGCTCAGCCTGAGCAACACATCAGAAAGGAACTGGCGCTCCTTCCCCCCCCCCACAACCCCTGGGGCAGCGTGCCAGCACCACCCCCGGCCACAGCCCTGCCCGTGCTCCTGGCTGTGGGCGCCCGGTGGTCTGACCCCATCTTGCCGTGGACAGGCAGAGCGTGGCCTCAGAGGCCTTGGGACAGGGCCGGCGCTGTCACGGTGTGACCCCTGTGGCCGCTGGGCACCCCGTGCACCCGGTGGGGAGCAGCGTGGGGTGGTGAGGGGAAGTGACACAGAGCAGCTGCCGAGGCCACAGCCCCCTTCCTGCCTGTGAGTCAGACCCGGCTCCTCCGGCAGCTGGCATTGCCCCACAGAGCTGGCAGGGCCTGGGCCCAGGTGTGGCAGATGCAGGCCTCCTCCGAGCTGAGGCCCCTCCCAGCGGCCCCGGGGAGCTGGGGGAGCTGGAGCACGTGGGTGCCAGGCCGGCTGGCCCTCTGTCTGCCAGGCCTGTCTGCCCGCCCCAGGCTGGTGGGTGCCCTTGGAGGGCCCGGAGCACATGGGTCCATGGCAGGTGGCACCCAGGCCCTGGGGGCTGCCCAGGTAATATGCTCACACAGCTCCCTGTACCCCCACCCCAGGCCACCAGGACCCTCCATGGACCAAACACTGCGGGCCTTTGGCGCCACCTGGCGGCCAGAGGTGGTGGCTTCGCCTTTCCCAGGACCTGGCCCTGTTGGAGGGCACAACCCCTAGGCAGGGAGGACAGACCCCTCCAGCTCTGAAAAGCTCACCTCAGGGTCCCAACGTGCCACGGCGTCCCGTCCAGAGGCAGCCGGTCCTGCCGGCCTCGGCCTGGCCTGGCTCTGGGGAGGGCTGCTCCTCTGGGCGGTGCTCACCGCTGACCCCCACCAGCAGCTGACCCCCACAAAGCAGCTCTAGGGCCGCCTGGTCCTGGAGCCCTGACAGCCTGTCCGCAAGCCCAGCCCGGCCTCGTCCTCCGAGGACGCCGCCCAGAGCGTGCCCACGCCGTCCAGCTGCCGCCCACTGGTCCGCTGACCCCTCCCTGAGGCCCCTCTGCCTGCAGTCCCGGGTCAGGCTGTGCCCTGAACTACCTTCCCCTCCCCTGGTCTCTCCCCTCCACACCCGCTGGGCCAAGCTCTGCCTGAACCTTTCTCCCAGGCCTGCACCCTCAGCACCCCCACAGGCACAAGCTCCCCTGACCTGAACCCCCTAATCCTGACTCTTAACACCCCAGCCTTAACCCTATCCCTAAACACTAACCCCCTGACCCTATGTTCTGGGATAGGGTTATGGTCAGGGTTAGGGATAAGGTTAGAGTTAGGACTAGGGCTAGGATTAGGCTTAGGGATAGAGTTAGGGTTAAGAATAGGTATAGGGTTAGGGCTAGGGTTAGGATTAGGCTTAGGGTTAGGGCTAGGGCTAGGGTTAGGGTTAGGGTTAGGGTTAGGGTTAAGAATAGGTATAGGGTTGCCAAAGCCGGTTTGGCTCAGTGGTAGAGCGTCGGTCTGTGGACTGAAAGGTCCGGGTTCGATTCCAGCCAAGGGCATGTACATTGGTTGTGGGCACATCCCCGGTGGGGGGCGTGCAAGAGGCAGCTGATCAATGTTTCTCTCTCATTGACGTTTCTAGCTCTCTCTCTCCCTTCCTCTCTGTAAAAAATCAATAAAATATATTTTTAAAAAAAAGAATAGGTATAGGGTTAAGGCTAGGATTAGGCTTAGGGTTAGGGATAGGGATAGGGTTAGGGTTAAGAATAGGTATAGGGTTAGGGCTAGGGCTTGGGTTTGGGCTAGGGTTAGGGATAAGTTAGGGCTAGGGTTAGGGTTCATGTTAGTGTTAGGGATAAGTTTAAGTTTAGGGTTATGCATTGACCTGCATTAGGGTTAGGGTTAGGGTTCAGGTTCAGGATGGGGTTCAGCCTAGGATTTGGGTGAGGGTGAGGGTAAGGGTCAGGGCTAGGGTTAGGGTTTTGGATAGGGTTAGGGTTAGGGATAGGGTTAGGGATAGGGATAGGGTTAGGGTTAGGGTTAGGGTTAGGGATAGGGTTAGGGTTAGGATTAGGATTTAGGTTTGGGATAGGGTTAGGGTTAGGGTTAGGGATAGGATTAGGGTAAGGATCTAGGTTATGGATAGGGGTAGGGTTAAGACTAGGGTTAAGTTTAGGGTTTGAGATAGGGTTAGGTTTAGGTTTAGGGATAAGGATAGGGTAAGGGTTAGGATTCTGGTTCTGGTCGTGTTAGGGTTAGGTTTTCGGTTATGCTTTGACCTGCGTTAGGGTTCGGGTTAGTTTTAGTGTTAGGGTTAGGGTTTGGGATAGGGATAGGTTTAGGATTATGGTTAGGGAGGGGTAGTCATGGTTAGGATTAGGGCTAGTCATGGATAGGTTTAGGGTTAGGGTTAGGGTTAAAGTTGGGTTAGGGATATGCCTAGGTTTAGGGTTAAGGATAGGTTTACAGTTAAGGATAGGGTTAGGGTTAAGGATATGGTCAGTGTTAGGGTTAGCATTAAGCCTAGGGATAGGATTAGGCATAGGGTCAGGGGTAGTAGGGTTAGGAATAGGGTTTGGGATAGGTATTGGATTGAGGGTTAGGGTTAGTGATATAGGTGAGGTTAGGGCTGAGGATTGGGATATGGTTAGGGTTACCATTATGGTTAGGTATTAAGGATGGGTTAGGGTTTGGGTTAGTGATATGGTTAGGGTTGAGGATTGGGATGTGGTTAGGGTTAGGTGTTGGGTTGAGGTTTAGGGTTCGGGTTAGTGATATGGTTAGGGTTAGGGTTAGTGATAACGGTCAGGGTTAGGGTTGAGGATTGGGATGTGGTTAGGGTTACCGTATGGTTCGGTGTGAGGGATGTGGGAATGTCCCACAACAGCTTTCACTCTTTTGCTTTGTGACCCTCCAGCTCCCACAGGATTGTGTGGGTCCCTCTGAGGGTGTCTCCGATGAGAACAATGATGCTTCCCCCTGGGCGGGCGGGTCGGGGTTCCCTGGGTGACCGGAGGCGCACTGCCCAGGGGAGCACGGACCCCCACCTGGTGCCCAGGAGCAGGAGCGGCACCGAGGCCCAGGAAGCTCCTCTTGCCGCTGCCATGGGCCCCTGCCGCACATGGCTGCACAGGCAGCCGTTATGGGGCCTCCAGACTCCGCCCTGTCCCCCCGTCACAGCTCCCTGACCAGAGGCCCAGCCCCAGGCACTGGTCTGCTCCCCCCGCCCACCCCTGTCCCTGCACGCAGTTCCCCCAATCCCCCCCCCCATGAGTAAAAATCGCAGAGGCCTGGTTTTTAAAATCTGTTTATTTTAAAACATGAAACCCAAGCTGAATAGAAACCACAGAGATTACATTGATGAGATTTTAGTATTTGCCAAGAAAAATAAAGCCCCAAAGATATAAAAAAATCAAACCCAAACCCATTTGAAAAAAAAAAAAGGCAAAAAACCCCCCCCCAAAAAAACAGCGACAGCCCCCCAGCCAGGCCAGGGGGTCGGGGCGGAAGGCCGGGCCCCGTGGCTCAGGCCTCAGGCGGGCGGCTCGGGGGTTAACCAGGGGGCGGGCCGGGGCTGGGGTCTTGTCACAGGGAGATGGATCATGTGCACAGGACAGGCCATGGGCTCCATGGACCCCAGGGGGCTCCCGTCCCGATCCCCCTCCCTCCGGCCGGGCGGGGGGCGGGGCTGGTGCCGGAGGGATTGCATAGTGACATGGGGAGGGGGTGGCCCAAACCGCCTCCACTCACCAGCCGGAGGGTGGAGCCCTGTGGGGTGACGGCCTGCCCCCAAGATGCAGTGGGGCCTGAGGGCCTGGCCTACGGGTACAGGGGCGGAGCGGGCGTGGGTCGGAGGCCAGTGGCAGGGGCAGGACGAGGAAGAGACCCCAGAACATGGCCCCCTGCGCCGCGCACCGAGCTCAGGGCCGAAGCCCGATTCCCGTGACCGGACTCGGGTCACAGCCCAGCGCCCACCCGCGCTGCTCCCTGCCCAGTCACACGGTGTGTGGGGGCTCACAGCAGCGGCCCCAGCAGCGGAGGACACGGCCAGAGCCGAGCAGGACTGCTGGGCCCCTCCTCACCGGAGAGGAGGGGGGAGGGGGGAGGGAAGGGGGCCGGGGGGAGGGGCGGGGCCGGGAGCACGCTGGACAGTGAGGTTCACCGTGCCCAGGGGCCCAGGGCGTCCTTCCTGGCAGAGGCTGCCCGGGGGCCATCCTCCCCTTTGGTCCCAGACACCAGCACGGAGAGGAGGTTCCAGGGGAGGGGCCTCTGGAGTGGGGCCCACAGTCCGTAACTCGCTGCCAGGCGGCCCTGGCCGGCCTCGCGTGCTGCCCTGGGGCGCCCTCCCTGGCAGGCAGCAAACACTGCACTGAAGCCAGAAGCACCACTTCACAGGTAGAGACCGAGGCCGCGGGGACCCTGGTCCGACAGCCCACAGCTCCCGGCAGCACCGCGGAGGGTGGGGGTGAGGTTAGTGGTTAGTCCCGGGCAGGGCCAGGGCTCATTCACAGGCGACTGGGGTGAACTCCCCCACCCCCCCGAGGCCGGCTCCAGACGCGCACCTGTCGGGGTGAGGGGACCGGGAAGGACTGAGCGGCCCACGTGCCCTAGAGATGAGGAGAGTGGTTAGTGCAAATGAACCGGAACAGGTGCCAGGCCTGGGGAGGGGTTTGGCACCTCGGTGAGCAGCCAGGCTGGCGACCGGCTGTCCTCGGCGGCAGGAGCTGAGGGAGAGAGCGAGGCTGGTGGAGGCGGAGAGGGTGGCGCAGAGGCTCGGCGCCGGGCGGGAGGGGCCTGCGGTCGGGGAGAAAGAGCGAGAACGCAGAGGCAGCGAGGGACCAGGCGTCAGGGCGGGGGAGGCTGAGCTGGAGGCGCAGGGCCACAGGGTCCGAGCTGCAGGGGCTGCCGGCCCGGAGCGGGCTCTGCGGACGAATCCTTAGGGGGAGGGGGAGACGGGGCCGCAGGGCCCTGGCGTCCACACAGCACTCCGTGTCCAGGCGTGGACACCGTGGTCAGGGCGAGCTCAGAGCTCCCTCGTCTCCACTGGCGGGTCCCTGCAGGAAGGGGGGACGCCCGGGCGTCCGAGCGGCGGGCCTGGGGGAGGAGCAGGGCGATTGGCACGTGGGCGTGGCTGCCGGCGTCTAGTGGCCGCTGCCGCTGGAGTCGGGGCGCGGCTGGCTTGTGGCGAGGTATTTGGCTCTCATGCTGGACGTGTACTGCGGGAGACAGGAGGCGAGTGAGGGTGTGGGCTGGCAGGCAAGGCCTGGGGCCAGGCGGGAGCACCCCGGGGGCAGGCGGCAGGACAGACTAGGACAACGTGACTGGCGGCCCCGGGGGCGGGCTCGGGAGGGGCTGCTGGCCCCGCACCAGGACCCTGAGCCCGAGGGCCAGGCCGGACCGGGCATGCGGGCGCTGTGCCAGGCAGAGCTCACACCCCTCTCCAGCGCCCAGAGGCTCCATGCCAGGCCCCACCGGCCACCCACAGTGGCCTCTCCCGCAGGCGGAGGGTCACGGTCAGCCACTCCAGAGAGCCCGGCGGGCGGGCTGCGGGCTGCGGGCTGCCCGCTCCGGCCTCCCCGGGCGCGGGCACAGGCGCAGGGACCGAGGCGGCGGGGCGGGAGCCGCAGCCTCAGACACCCGTCTCAGAGCCGGCGTGCGTGTACATGGGTGTGCATGCGTGTGCGGGTGTGCGCGCCTGCATGTACGTGCTCACACACACGTGGAGGAGGCGTGTGTGAAGACCAGGCAGGTATAAAGGTCACACGCCTCGGGGGGGGGCAAACGCCCAGGCACGGTGCCCCCGAGCCCGGTGCCGACGCCACGGCCACATGCTGCCCGCCCAGTCCCCGCTCTGGGGCCAGCGCCCTGTCCTGAGGCCCCGGACCTGCTGGCGGGGAGAAGGCTGCACGTGCCCAGCGGGGCCGGAGGGACCCGGGAGGAGCCGGGCACCAGGCGTGCGTTCCGGGACATGCAGGAGGCCGGGCGCAGACATGCGGGTGCTCAGCTCGGGATGCCGGGAGCAGCTTGCAGCCGCCCACCACCCGGTGCACCTGGACGTGCAGGGGCCTCGCGAGGGCCAGGCCGTGGAGGCACCGGGACCCGGCGCAGCGTGCCCAGGACTCGGGGTCAGGCCTTGCTGGGAGGGGACGGGGGGCTGTGGCCGCCTGCAGCCGGGCGGGGGGTGGGGGCTCACTGTGCCGAGGCGAGTGACGGTCGCGGGCCAGCACCAGAGGCCTCACGCTGGGCTGGAGGCCACAGCCCCCGGCCCTGATCTGGAACAGCCCAGGCCGCCAGCTGTGAGCAGAGGGCGTGCGGCGCGGGCACAGGTGGGGGCGCAGCGCAGGGCGGGGACCCCGGTGGTCAGTACCTGTCGCTGAGGGCACGGCCACCACCTCGGTCAGGCACTGTCCAGGGGCTTAAACTGCCAGCCCGTGGGGCTGCCAGAGTCCAGGGCAGCCAGATATCGCTGGGAGGGCAGGCCCAGGGAGGGGTGGGGTGTGGGAGAGAGAGACAGAGAGTGCGGCCTCAACGCCAGGTGTGGGCCGGCCAGAGGCCACGGGGCCGGGGGGGCGGTGAGCGGGCAGGGGGACGTGTCCATCCCGCGGCGCCCAGTCCCCAGGCCAGCTCCGTGCGGCCGGGCACAGGGGCCCCGCACACGCGGGAGGGGTTTTCCCAGCAAAGCGCCTCGCCGCTCTGCACCTGCCCCTGCAGCTGCCGCTGCCAGGAAGCCGCCGGGCTGCTGTCCGTGAGCCCGTCTCTTTGGCACAAACCGCCGGGCCCCGCCCCGAGGGCCGAGGGGACCAGGCCAGGCTGCACCGGCCAGGGCCCGGACGGGGGAAGCTCAGAGTTACAAAGAGGAAAGGAAGAGGTCAGGTGAGGAGAGAAGTCGGGCGGCTGTGAGCCGCCGCCCGCCGCTGCAGGCACGCCGGACCCCAGCCGGACCCCACCCGCTCCGGCACTTACCGAGGGCGGCGGGGACTCGCGTCCGATGAGGGGCGTGTTCTCGCAGCGGGGGTTCTGGAAGTTGGCATTCTGGCTCCTGAGGGGCAAGGAGAGGGGCTGAGTGACCGCGCCGTGGCCCAGCTCGGAGCCCGAGGGCCCGTCCGAGCCTGCAGTGCGCCCCCTGCTCTGCGCCCTCCCATCCTGATGCCAGGGGGCGGGCACACCCTCCCTGGATGCGCCTGGCTTGGCTCTCGAGGGCTCAGGGTGGGCCCAAGGTGCCCGCCCGCCAACCCACCATGTGGCCAGGCCTGGGCCTTCCTCCATCTGACCGCCCCCGTGGCCCCCGCGGAGTCCCTGCTCTCCGCACGGCCCCCGCGGCCCGCCCAACGCGCCCTCGGACTCACATGTACTCGGTGACGGGGGCGTTGCTGACGGTGTGGGCGGCGGCCGGCAGGCTGGCCTCGCTGCCGTAGCTGCTGCCGCAGCTGTACAGGCTGGGCATGTGCACGCGGTACAGGCTGCCGTGGGCCTGCCGCGGCCCCGCGGCCGCCTCCTCCTCCCCGTCCTCCTCGGGGCCTCTGCGGGGGAGGGGCCAGACCACGCAGGCTGAGCCCGGCGCCCACCGACCGCGGGCCGGCTCTGTGCCGGGGCGCTGCCCCCATCCCGGCTGGGCACCCACACACCACGGGCTGCGGGAAGCGCGACGGGGAACCAGGCCCCGGCTCGGCCTGCGCAGGCATGGGGACCGTCCACCCGTGAAAAGAGGGAGCAGGAGAAACCACCCCGTCTCTACCACCACCACCACCACCACCACCATCATCATCACCACCACTACCATCACCATCACCACCATCACCACCACCATCATCATCACCATCACCACCACCACCACCATCACCAACACCACCATCACCAACACCACCATCACCATCACCACAATCAACATCACCACCACTGCCATCACCATCACCACCATCACCACAATCACCATCACCACCACCGTCATCACCACCACCACCACCACCACCATCACCATCACCACCACCACCACCACCATCATCACCATCATCACCACCACTACCATCACCATCACCACCACCACCACCACCATCATCACCACCACTACCATCACCACCACCACCACCACCATCATCACCACCACCACCACCACCACCATCTCTACGTCACTCACCACTATCACACCGTCACCATCACCACCATCTCTACCCCTATCATCACTATCACACCATCACCACCACCACCACCACCACCATCACCACCACCACCATCACCATCACCACCACCACCACCACCACCACCACCTCTATGCCACTCACCACTATCACACCATCACCACCACCATCGTCACCACCATCTCTACCCCCATCATCACTACCACCAACCTATCATCACTATCACACCATCACCACCACCACCACCATCATCACCATCTCATCACTATCACACCATCACCATCACCACCGTCTCTACCCCTATCATCACTATCACACCATCACCACCACCACCACCACCATCATCACCATCTCATCACTATCACACCATCACCATCACCACCATCTCTACCCCCATCATCACTACCACCAGCACCAGCACCACCACCCACAGCAGCAGCAGCGTCGCCTCCACAACAGAGAACAGAGAGGGTCAGCGGAAAAGCTCTGACTGAGGGATCGCCATCCAAGCTGTCGGCCCCCTGAGAGCAGCCACTGCCCCAGGCGGGAGGCGGGAGGTAAGCCCTGGGGGCCCAAGGAGGAAGGGCCGACACCCGATACACCACCCGACCCAGTGCTAACTGGGGAAACTGAGGCAGGGCCTCCAGAGGCCCCCCTGCACAGCTTGAGTCCCCACAGCAGCCAGGTGGGCCCCACAACCAAACCTTGCAGGTCTGCACGGGGAGGGGGACGGGTGTGGGAAGGCAGTTCCCTGGAATGGCCAGTGCGGGGCGGGGGCCAGTGTGAGGCGGGGCCAGTGCGGGGGCAGGGCCAGTGTGAGGCGGGGCCAGTGTGGGGGCGGGGCCAGTGCAGGAAGGGGGCGTGTGAGGCGGGGCCAGGGCCAGTGTGAGGCGGGGCCAGTGTGGGGCGGGACCAGTCGGGGCAGGGCCAGTGCGGGGGCAGGGCCAGTGCGGGGGCGGGGCCAATGTGAGGCGGGGCCAGTGCGGGGGCGGGGCCAGTGCGGGGGCGGGGCCAGTGCGGGGCGGGACCAGTCGGGGCAGGGCCAGTGCATGGCGGGGCCAGTGAGGCCAGGTGGGGAGCTGCGGCCTGCAGCCTCCGGCCTCACCTTTTGTGCTGCCAGGTGTGGGGGATGCTGCAGACAATGGAGCTGAACATGAGGGCGGTGACGAAGGAGAAGAGGGCCAGGTAGATGAGGCCCTCGACGCCGTCATAGCAGAGGCCGGTCAGCGCCTGCACGTAGTCCTGCGGCCGGAGACGGAGGCAGGTGAGCGGACGCGCTGCCGGCCCGGCCCGGCCCGGCCCAGGGAGCTGGCCCCCAGGCGGGGCTGCCCCCCCCCCCCCCCCGTGGCCCCGAGCTCACCAGGTGCAGGCTGCGGCAGTCCACCAGCGCCGTGAGGTGCTGCAGGTTCACCTCCGTGCCGTTCAGCGCCTCCTGCACGCGGAGCAGAGGGTCCTGGGGGCGCACGCAGCCGGGTCAGCACGCGGTCAGGGGAGCCCCAGGTCCCCACCCCACCCCGGCCTCCAGGCCGCCCTCAGCCTGTGGCCACCCACCCCACCCCCAGCCTCCAGGCCGCCCTCAGCCTGTGGCCACCCACCCCACCCCGGCCTCCAGGCCGCCCTCAGCCTGTGGCCACCCACCCCACCCCGGCCTCCAGGCCGCCCTCGGCCTGTGGCCACCCACCCCACCCCCAGCCTCCAGGCCGCCCTCAGCCTGTGGCCACCCACCCCACCCCCAGCCTCCAGGCCGCCCTCAGCCTGTGGCCACCCACCCCACCCCGGCCTCCAGGCCGCCCTCGGCCTGTGGCCACCCACCCCACCCCCAGCCTCCAGGCCGCCCTCAGCCTGTGGCCACCCACCCCACCCCGGCCTCCAGGCCGCCCTCAGCCTGTGGCCACCCACCCCACCCCGGCCTCCAGGCCGCCCTCGGCCTGTGGCTCGGCATGGGCCTCAGGGTCCTGGGCTTCTAGAAACGCGTCCCCAGAGCCCTCAGCGGCTGTGGGGCAGCGGAGGATGCCAGGCAGACCGCAGAAGCCCGTCACGGCAGCCACTGCTACGTGGTCCTTTCCCGTGGCAGGAAGGACAAACACCTGCTCTCCTGACGTGGCCGGCTTTTAAAGGTTGCAATTCCAGGAACAGTTAAAAGGTTTCTACCACCTTTCAAACAGCACGCGTTCCCGAAAACACGGCGCAGAGCGAGGCCAGTCGTGCGCTGGGCTGCAGTGCGTCTGGGTGCCGTCTGCACTGCAGTGTCTGCTGTTGTATCTGTGCCGCGTGCGTCTCCGCTGTGTGCGTCTACACTGTGGTGTGTGCGCTGTGCGTGTTGCATTGTCTGTGTTGTGTGCACTGCAGTGTCTGCCTTGTTGTATCTGTGCCGTGTGCGTCTCCGCTGTGTGCCCGCACTGTGACGGGTCTGCATGCCAAGGAGACAGACAGGCCAGGGCAGAGCCTGCCCACACCTGACCGTGGCCGGAGCCTCCAGGGCTGAGGCACCGATGTCTAAGCCGCCCGGTGACTGAGGAAACCCAAGCAGCCGGCCCACCGACCTCCCCACTCAGGTGCAAGCACCAGGAGCGGAGGCGGGAGGCCGGGGTGGGCTGGGACCGTGTGTGCAGCCGTGTGTGTGCGTGTCCCAGGCGGGGTCTGGAGCACCGGAAAGCAGTCCCGTCCTGGGACCCCCCGGAGACACACACGGCAGGGTCCTGCCCAGCTGGGTCTTTGTCTGGTCCGTTTCCTCTTCCTAAATACGAAGCATTCACGTGACCTTTAAAGTAAGAAGCGGAAGCTTTTAAAGGACAGAGGGGGTGACCGGCGGGACCTCACCTTGGTGGCCGGGTGCTCCCGTGGGACAGTCCTCAGGAGCTCGGCCACGATGTCCTGCATTTCCACCAGCGCCTTGTGGCTGCCTGACAGCGTCTGCGAGAGAGCGACGTGGCAGCAGCCAGCAGCGTGTCCCCCCGCCCCCCACGGCCCTGGCACTGGGGGCCCGAGGGGCACTGGCGGGCACCGTCCCCGGCCGCAGGGGCCCAGCCTCTTTAAGGTCATGGGGAGCGGCAGGCACAGGCTCAGGTGTTCCTCAGACCCGCCTGCTCTGGTCCAGTTATCCCAGGGGGGACACAGGACCCTCCTGGACGAGGCTGCCCGGGCCCCGCCACGCCCACCCGCTGGCTGTGCCCTTAGGGCTGGCCCCGCGCCACCCAGGACACCCAGGAGTGGGTCCCAGGGGTGGGGGCATCAGCAGGCACCCATAGGGGCTCTTAGTGACATCGGTCCCGGGTTCGCCCAGCCGCCTGCCCTCGGCCTGGGTCAGAGGCTGAGGGTGGCCGGGGCTGCGGACATTCAGATGAAGGGCGGGTGGTGCCCGGGGCGGCCTCCCGGGCGGGGGGCAGCGAGCTCTCACCTGCTGGAAGGGGCTGGCGGCGCGGGGCGAGCAGGCCAGGTAGTACTGCAGGGTGTCTGCGGAGAGAGGCTGGCGGCTCAGCGACTGCCCCTTCCCTGCCTGTGTGCGCGCGGCTACGAGGTGCTCGCACGAGCACACACGTGTGCACAGACACATCTGTGTGCACATCTGCGTGCACACTGCCTTCTGTGGGTGCACATGCGCTGGCCTGTCCACCCCCTTAGGCAGCATCTAAAGGGCCTCCCTCCCCATCCTGACCTGCAAGCCCAGCAGACCGAGCCTGCTGCAGCCGGGGAGAGCCCGGACCGGCTGCCCGCCTGCCACCCCCTGCTGCCCGCCTGCCACCTCCTGCTGCCTGGCCCTCCCACAAGCCCCTGGGGCGGGGGGTCAGGTCTGGGACACTGGCTGTAGGTGCCCCTTCCTGGGGCTTGGGGCCCAGTCAGGAGGGCGGCAGGGCTGGCCGCACCCACTGGCCCCGCGGGTCTGGGTTCGGCAAGCTTATGTGAACCCGGAGGCTCCAGCCCCGCCGGGGCCCTGGGAGCGGGCTGCTCACCCAGGCCCAGGGCGGGAGGCCGGGCGGGGGCACCAGGGCCGCTGCCATCGGCCCTCGACCCGCACAGACCGCCCCCACCCCCCAGGGGCGCCCCAGCTGAGGCAGAAACCGTACTTAGCCCAGCCTCATGGGCCTTTCTGGGCACAGGGCGGGCAGGACAGTCCCGTGAGGGCCACTCAGCACCCCACGCTCTGCCCCCACTGAGCCCCGGCTTCTGGGGAAGTCCTCCAGCTCCGCCCCCTCCGCCCCGCCCGCAGGCTCCACGCATGTGCGTGCAGCGGAGACACGCTCCAGCCCCTTCCCTGGCCTGCAGGCCAGAGCCCCGTCTCCCCGCTCCTCTGAGGCGGCACCAGCAGCAGAGGCAGCCACCTCCCCTGCTCCCCACCTCCGGCCGGAGGCACCTCCGCTCAGGGCACACCCGCCCCCTCCTCACCCTCTCCTCCCAGCAGGTCCATTCCCGCCTCTCCGGTCAGTTTTAATGCCGCCTCTTCGCAGGCCGTCCCGACTGCGAGCCGGAGCAGCTATCCTCACCCGCTCCCGTCACCCGCTCCCCATCATCGCTGGACCACGGCGCCTGTCCTCCGTCCACAGCCTGTCACCCACGGTGACACTGCTCACCACTGGCTTCCTGTTCCTGCCTCCCCACACCCGGACCCACACCCGGACCCGGACCCACACACACACCCGGACCCGGACCCACGCCCACACCCGGACCCACACCCACACCCACACCCGGACCCGGACCCACACCCACACCCGGACCCACACCCAGACCCGGACCCGGACCCACACCCGGACCCACATCCGGACCCGGATACACACCCGGACCCACACCCGGACCCACACCCAGACCCACACCCGGACCCGGACCCACACCCGGACCCACACCAGGACCCGGACCCACACCCGGACCCACACCCACACCCACACCCAGACCCAGACCCACACCCACACCCACACCCGGACCCACACCCACACCCAGACCCACACGAGGACCCGGACCCGGACCCGTCAGGGCAGGAGGTCGGCCTAGCTCCGGTGGGCTGCGCCGCCCCGCCCCGCCCCGCCCCGCCCCGGTGCCCGTCAGGCGCGGCCACAGGCTCACCTTCGCTCAGCACCGCGTGCTCCTCCACCATCCTGGTCACGTAGGTGTCGGGATCCACACAGAAGTCACTGGAGCCCTGGGGGGGACGCAGGCAAGGAAAGTGGGGTCACCAAGCTAGGCCCCCCAACCCTCCACTCTCAGAGCAGAGCCTGGTCACCCCACCCCCTGGACAGGCTGTAGGACCCCCGGCCTCTGGCCCTGGGGCCGGACTCACGTGCCAAGGACAGGACCCGCCCCTTGGGGCCCTCACGACCCACGGGAGGGGAGGGGAGGGGCGAGGAGTGTGCCCCCATGACGGCCCAGCAGGCGGACCCGCCGCCACTCACCACAGCCGCGGCCAGCTCCACGCCCAGCGCGCCCCAGCTGACGATCAGCGCCAGGACGCCCAGCAGGCAGACCCTGGGCAACGACAGCCAATCAGCACCCCGGTGAGGGGCACCCCGGGGCCTGACCCGTGAGGAAGGAGGGCGAGGAGGGCTGACTCAGGGCGACTCACCCGACGAGGGTGCCCTTGGAGCTGCGGATGAGGCCGACCAGCACCAGCAGGCAGATGGCCACGTCCAGCAGCAGCAGGCCCAGGTAGCCCAGCCACCTGCAGGACGGAAGGAGGACGGGGGTGTGGGGGTGCGGGGGTGCGGGCTGCGGCTGCGGGGGAAGAGGGGGTAAGCACGGGGACTGGGCAGGGCTGGCTGGCATCCAGCAGAGCCGGGCCCTTTCTGGGCAATGGGACTGCAGGCCGATGCTCAGGGTGCCCCCTGGGACTCCTGCCAGACAGCTGCTGCAGACCCGACCGTCCAACCCCACAACGCAGGGCCTGGAGGAGGCCCGGGGGCCCTGGCGGAACCGCGGGCAGGAGAGGGCGGGCGGCGCACCTGTACCAGTCGTAGAGGTCCGCCCGCTCGGCCAGCGCCTCCAGGGACACGGCGGCGTTCCTCCAGAAGGGGATGGCGGCCGTGTAGCCCAGCAGCGCGCCCAGCAGGCCCTGCAGCCGCCGCACCGCGCGCAGGGGCTCGGGCCGGGCGGCCAGCTGCTGCTCCAGGCTCTGCAGGCCGGGCTCCGCCGTGAGGTTCAGGGCGGCCGCCGTGTCCCACACCTGCGCGGGAGCGGAGCCGTGAGCCCGCCCGTCCCCTCCGCCCCCCTCCCCGCGGGCCCCGGGAGCCGGGACCGCCCCCCGCAGCACTCACGCGGTCCTGGACCCCCGCCACCGTGCGGTTGGCGTGGCGGAGCGAGTAGGTGGCCCGGTGGACGCCGTCGCTGGTCTCTCCGTTGCCGTAGAAGCCCACGGCGATGCCGGCGCTGGGACAGGGAGGCCCCGTGAGGCCCCGTGAGGCCCCGCCCCTCCCCGCCCCTCCTCCCCTGCACACCAGCGTGGTGATGACGACGCACAGGCCCCGCCCCTCCTCACCTGCACACCCGCGTGGTGATGACCACGCACCAGGCCCCGCCCCTCCCGGTCAGGCCCCGCCCCCAGGGCAGGCCCCGCCCCTCCCCCCTGCACACCGGCGTGGCGATGACGACGCAGCAGGCCCCGCCCCTCCCGGCCAGACCACGCCCCCAGGCAGGCCCCGCCCCTCCTCACCTGCACACCAGCGTGGCGATGACGACGCACCAGGCCCCGCCCCTCCCGGCCAGACCACGCCCCCAGGCAGGCCCCGCCCCTCCTCACCTGCACACCAGCGTGGCGATGACGACGCAGCAGGCCCCGCCCCTCCCGGTCAGACCACGCCCCTCCCGGTCAGACCACGCCCCCAGGCAGGCCCCGCCCCTCCTCACCTGCACACCAGCGTGGCGATGACGACGCACCAGGCGGTGCAGCAGCAGTCGGCGTCCAGGTGGTCCTCGGTCTTGCGCCGGCGGCAGCACAGCCAGAAGGAGTAGAGCAGCAGGAAGAGCAGGTCCAGGGCCAGGCAGGCCAGCGCGGCGGCCCCGAGCAGCAGCAGCGCCTGCGGGGGGCAGCGGTGAGGGCTCCCGCCGCCCACCAACCGCCCCTCGCTCAGCCCGGGGCCGGGCGGGCTCCCAGAGAGGCCCCCAGCCCGTCGGGCAGGGCCCGTGGTCGCCCAGGTCTGGGAACCCCGTACTAGACCCCCCCCCAGCCTTGCACCCGCCCCAGGGGGCCTCCGCCTCCGGGGCCCCAGCACCAAGGCAGCCGCTGAGCAGGGTCCCCCCGCGGAGCCTGAGGAGGCGCTGGGTGGGGGTGGGGGGGGCCGAGGGCAGGTCTCCCAGAGGCAGGCACAGCCGGGAACCCGCCTGTCCCGGCAGGGCCCGCGCACACAGGCCTGGGGGGGTGCTCCTGGCACCGCCCACCCTCACCCTCCGCCCGCTCCGGGCCAGCAGCCGCCTCCTCAGACCTTGGAGCCCCGGAGGCTGGCCCCCGGGAAGCGGCCGGGCCCTCCTCGGGGGAGGGGGAGGGGGCACACAGAGCCCCATTGCCCCCTTCACCCATTTTGCTGATACAGAACTTGAGAGAAGGTGCGAACTTCTGGGGTGCAGGGCTGTGCCCCTCACCGGAGGCGCCCCCGCAGGCACCATCACAGCTGCCTCAGGAGGCCCCTGGAGCACCCATCCCCCTCAGAGGGGTGCCCCGGGCCTGAGTCTGGGAGCTGTGGGGTGGGACGCCCAGGTCCGCCTGCCCCCAGCAGGGCCCCTGGGACTGCAGCATCCCAGCCCTGCCAGCCGCTGTCTCCCGGGAGACGGTTGCCAGGCAGCAGGGGGAGCAGGCACTGGCTTGGGGAAGGCCCAGGCACCACGAGGGTAGCAGTCCAGGCTGCACCAGCCCTTCCCACAGGTTGCCCCTGCTGCCCAGCAAGCAGTGGGCACCGTGGGCGTGGGTGCAGCCACCCACTGCCCCTGCCCACCAGCTGGACGGGGAGGGGTGGGGAGCGGGCGAGCGCCAGAGCCACCTCTCAGCCCAGGCTCTCGAGGTCCCTCCGGGGCATTCGTGTGTCTGTGGGGCCTCCAAGGATGGGGGTGGAGCTTGCCCAAGGTCACGGGGAGACGGGCCAGGAATCAGGCACCACCCCTTCCCCCAGCACTGCCCAGCGTGGGGAGTCGGCGAACATTAGGGGGCTCGGAAGAGCGCCCTCTTGTGGGTCCCCTGGGTCTACCCTCATGCTCAGCTGGACCATCTCACAGGGTCAGAGGCCAAGGGCAGGACAGCCACCACCCGGGGCTGGGCTCCGAGGGAAGCCTCCCTCTCACAGCCAAAGCCGGCCGGCCGGTCAGCCACCTGGTCCCTCCCGAGCTCTGCACCGGACACCCCCACCCCCAGAACCAGGCTGCTCCCAGAGACAGTGACGAGGGGGCGCGGGGGGTGGGAGCTGGCCGGACAGAGTGCCGATCGCCCCCTGGCGGCGCCAGGACCACCCACTCCCTTTGCCGGATGAGAGGGTGGAGGCGAGGAGGGATCCTGGCACCGCTCTGTGGGCTCCGGGTCCGGGAGTGCCAGGGCCTGCCTCCCCCGCCCGCCGCGGGCAGCGGCGCCTGGACCTCCCTCTCCAGCTCTGACTCACTTCGCTTTGCTGTTGTGGGCTGTTCTTTTGGGGTTTTCTCTCTTTTTTTAAAGCCACAAACACGAGCTACGTTATAATTAAAACACAAAACCAGAAACCGGTGAGCAGCTCTCCAGCGGGCGTGGGAGGCCTCCGGGCAGCCCTGCCGTGGAGATCGGGTGGCAGGGGAGAGGGCCCACAGCACCCCCAAACCCAGGCCCCAGGGTCAGCCCTCAGGGAGCCAGGGTGCCAGGTTCAGCGGGGCTCCTCCGCCTGTCCTGGAGGTGAGGGAGGTCTGACTGACCTCCGCGCCAGGAGGGAGGGGGGCATCCCTGCAGGGGTGCTCCTCAGGCTGGATGAGCTCGTGTGGAAAGGCTTTTTCCTGGGGATCCCCCAGAAGTCAGGGCCCCCGCCCACAGGCAGCCCGGCGGGCTGGGCACAGGAGGGGGCCCCCTGGCTGCGGGGAGGGCGCCCAGGGCAGATCACAGACAAGGTCAGTGTGAGCACACCCACATCCACATGTGCAGGCCACCACATGTTCACACCCACACGTGTCTACCACACACACACACACACACACACACACACACACACACGCACACACACCCACGTTCACACATGCACATAGAGAAGGTGCCCTGAGGTCGTGCCTGTAAGCTCTCAGGGATGGTGGGCGAGGGTGGACCTGGGCATCACACACTCATCAGAGGCTGAGGGGGAGGACATGCCCACCCGGGGCGGACAGGCCTCCCTGCACCAGGGAGCTGGTCCAGGTGGGACCTGTGCCCTGAGAGTGAGAGGGTGGCCTGGGCTCCGAGGGGGCACCTGAGGGCGGGAGTTCCTCCAGTGCGGGAGGCAGCGGCAGGGCAGGGGAGCCCCGCACACGGAGCCAGGGTCTGCGCCCCCGTCTGCCTGCCGACCGGGACCCCGCTCACCCCCTGGCCTGCTCCCTGCCCCCGTCGCCCAGGGGATGCTGGGAAGCCTCAGGAGGCTCCTCCGCAGCCTGGCACACAGGGTGCTCAGAAACGCGGGCCTCAGGACCCACCCCGAGCTTCGACAGACCGGGCAGCTTCCTCCGGGAGCCTTAACGCCAGGACAGTGATGGCCAGTGTGGCCCTGGGTAGCCCTGGAAGGCCAACGGGAGGAAAGGAGGGAATCCAGGTCCCAGCCAGCACGGAGGCCAGCGTGCCTGTCCTCCTGTCCCAGCCTGTCCTTCCGTCCCCGCCTGTCCTCCCGTCACCACCTGTCCCCGTCCCACTTGTCCCCCTCTCCCTGCCTGTCCTCCTGAACCTGCCTGTTCCCGTCCTCCCGTCCCCACCTGTCCCCCTGACCCCGCCTGTCCCCCCGTCCCCGCCTGTCCCCCTGTACCGCCTGTCCTTCCATCCCTGCCTGTCCTCCCGTCCCCACCTGTCCCCGTCCCTGCCTATCCTCCGGTCTCTGCCTGTCCTCCCGTCCCCACCTGTCCCCCTGTCCCTGCCTATCCTCCGGTCTCTGCCTGTCCCCTGGTCCCCGCCTGTCCTCCTGTCCCCACCTGTTCCCCTGTCCCACCTGTCCCCACCTGTCCTCCCATCCCCGCCTGTCTCCCTGTCCCCGCCTGTCCTCCTGAACCCACCTGTCCCCCTGTCCCGCCTTTCCCCGTCCCCGCCTGTCCTCCCATCCCTGCCTGTCCTCCTATCCCCATGTCCCCCTATCCTGCCTGTCCCCCTGTCCTCCCATCCCCGCCAGTTCCCCTGTCCCCTGTCCCCCGGTCCCCATCTGTCCTCTGGTCCCTGGGGCCAGTACCACACATGGCCTTTGCCCAGTTCCGAGGCAGAGCCCCAGGGATCAGCTTGCGAGGCTTCCCCGGCCCCGCCCCCCGCCCGCTGGCTGGCGCCCGCTCCGGCTTCCAGGCCCATTCAGAAAGAGAGGACTGTCTGCTCAGCATCTGGCTCTGACCACATGGAATTTTCCGTCGGTCAGCGATGGAAGTGATGTCAGCGCCCGGTCAGCGAGGCGAGATGCTTGGGCCGCGTCCTGACCGCCGGCCACAGCGCTGGCTCCCCGCCACCCGCAGCGCGAGGAGTGCCCGGCTCGACGCAGACGGACACGGGCAGCACGGCGCCCCCCGGCCCTCCCGCTCCGTCTCCGGCCTGGACCACACGTCCTTCGAGGCCCCCGCAGCCCCGGCCCCCACGAAGCGTATCCAGGAGCGGGCCCTGCCCCGAGCCACGCTCTCCCCGCGCCCCACGGCCCCCAGCCCCACCGGCCTGGCAGGGAGCCGGCGGGAAGGGCCGGGGCAGTGCTGTCCTGTGGGAGGCAGCCCCACTGGTGGGAGGGGATGTCCTGGCTGAGCCCCAAGCTTGCTGGCAGCCTGGCTGCGAGGGCCCCACGCCAGCCCCACGAGGGGGGCGCCGGGCGCCCGAACCTCACTAATACTGTCAGCCCGAGGGCATGGTGCCAGGGCGGGGAGGCCGCGGCCTCAAGCTGGGCCCGCCAGCCGCTCCTCCTTTGGCCTGAACATGCCGGTCAGATACCGGGTGGGCGGCCCCTGTGCAGAGGGGCAGCTCACCCCAAAATGCCCCGGACCAGCGCCACACACGGCCCGCCCAGCACCCCCATGTGCCCCTACAGGGAGCACGTCACACACAGCACAGGCACCCCACAGCCCGGCACCGGCTCTGCCCTCTGCCCGCCGTCCACAGCCTCCGCCCCGGGGACCTGACCCCGCCCAGAGGACACACCCTGGACCCCGCTGCCCGGCCGCAGCGTGAGCCCTTGGCCAGCCTCACTGCGGGCGCCACGTGCACCAGCAGCTGGAGAGGGCGGGGGACTCCCCCAGGCACAGCCGGGGTGGCAGCGCCCCAGGCCAGAGCCCTGCCACCTCGGCCGGCTCCCCCTCCCGACAAGTGGGACAGGGAGGCCTCAGAGGGGCCGGGGCCCTCAGTGCCCGCCACACACGCTGGCACGCTGGCGGGACAGCCTGTGTGAGCAGAGGCTGAGGCCGGGCTCTGGGGCCACGGGGCACAGACAGCTGTGCTGGGGGCCCCGTCTCCCAGAGCCCGCAGTGCAGGCCGGAGGCTCAGACCGGGTGCAGAAGCGTCAGGGGGTGACAGTGGGTGCCAGGGGGGGCACCATGAGGGGGACAGTGTGGGCAGAGGCCCAGCACAGGTCCAGGCTGCAGACCTGCGCCCGCAGTGCCAGGGGCAGAGTGGGGCTGTAGGGAGTGGGCGGGGCAGACAGATGTGGGGGAGCAATGGGCCCCAGCGCTGCCTCCTTCTCGGGAAGACGGGGTCAGGGCATCCATAGGAGCCCTCAAGTCCTGCTGCAGCCCTGGGTGTGCGGTGAGGAGAGGGGAGTGGGCGCTGGGCTGGGAAGGCGCACGCCCCAGAGCAGCCGACTCCCCTAGGGCTGGCTCTCTGCCTCAGCACCCAGGCTCCCTGCGCTCCAGACCACCAGACGGGGAGGCACCCACTTCCCATGCCAGCCGAGGGTGCACGCTGAGGGCCCAGGCCCAGACGAGGGGTGCAAGCTGGCCGTGCGGCCGCGGCCACAGCCCCCGCCCCTCACACAGGCTTGGCTGGGGCTCCCAGATGCCGGGCAGAAATTAAAAACACATTTCCATGGAGCGGGCTTGGGTTTCTCGAATTCCATGCCGGTGAGCTCGTGGCCCTGCGGGAGCCTGCGAGGGGCCCCGCTCTCTGTCCAATCCCTCCCGCCCTCCCCGCCGGGGGCCGAGGACCGAGGTCCAAGGTCCAAGGTCCGAGCCGGCCGGGCAGACACCGGCTGGGCTCACGTCCTCTGCTCGGCACACACTACGCTCACCTCCCCGCCAGGAGCCACGGGGACCGAGCCCGGGGCCCAGGGGGGCTCTGACCAGTCACACAGGCCCAGCACTCCCTCCCCGGCAGCCAGACCACGTGGAGGAAATGCGGAGGCCACGCCACAGACCCACACCTGGGTGCGTGCGGCTCTTCCGGTCACTGCTCTAGTGCCGCCCAGAAACCGCTTCCTCCACCGGCTGTGAGCGCCTCTGCACCCCCCGCCGGGGACCGGCCCGGCCTCAGAGGGGGCCGTGGCGTCCTCAGGGCTGGCCTCCACCAGGAAGATGAGGCCCCTCACCAGTCAGGGCCAGTGCGGGCAGCCCCCCTCTCGGAGGCAGAAGTGGTCACTGAGACTGTGGGAGCCCAGCTCACCCCATGCCCTAGGGCAGTGGTCGGCAAACTCATCAGTCAGCAGAGCCAAATATCAACAGCACAATATTGAGATTTCTTTGGAGAGCCACATTTTTTTAAACTTAAACTTCTTCTAACGCCTCTTCTTCAACATAGACTCGCCCAGGCCGTGGTATTTTGTGGAAGAGCCACCCTCAAGGGGCCGAGAGCCGCAGTTTGCCGATCACTGACGGTCAACAAAGGACAGGCCTGGCCACGCTGGCACCCCTGCCCTCGCGTGGGGACCAGGCCTCACCCAGCCTCCTGGAGGGGAGCAGGAGGGGAGCACTGAGGGTGGAGGGTGGCATGGTGTGCATGCTCACACACACGTGTGCCCCACCTCCTCTGGGCACACGGAGCCCAGGCCTTGGGCAAGGGGGTGGAAAGGGAGCTCACAGAGGCCCCCCCACCTGGGCCTGGCACGGCTTGGCTCCACACGCCCTGCTTCTTGAGGGCACGCCCCACGGCCAGGTGCCCTCCCTGGCTCCACACAGGACAAGCGTGGCCTTGTGGCCAGCTGGCACCGGGGCCTTGTCCTGGAGGCCTGGCCTTGTCCCGGGCCCACCACAGCCCTCCTGTCGCCGTGCCTGACAGGGACACCCGCGGTCCCAGCAGGTGTCTGCCTGCCACGGAGCCCCCGGGGGCCAGGAGCAGACCTAGGAGGGACCACTGCCCCCGTCCTGGGCCCCAGCTCCGCAGGGACCACGTGGGGCACTTCCCGTGGTGACCCTCTGTCTGCAGATTCGGTTCCTCTTCTCCAGCAGAGCTGCCTGGGGGAGGGGGCCAGGCAAAGGGCCAGGTGGTCCTCCCCCCACCCCGGACTCAGAAGCTGCTCAGGGCTGAGTCCACGGGCAGGGCAGTGCCCGGCCAGCGAGGAGCCAGCCACGTCTCCCGCCCGCTGATGCCGGTGCCCGTGGCCTGACGTGCCTCCCCGGCAGAGGGCCCGAGGTCAGGGCACCCATAGCCTGCGCGCCCGCCCGGCTCACACGGCTGCTGCCCTGCCCCAGCGTCGCCCCCAGAGCCGTCCCGGCCTCAGACCCTCACAACCGGGAGCGAGGGCCTGACCAGAGCTGTGGTGCAGACCCCGCAGCTCGCCGGGCGGGGACTCGGTCCGGCCCACACTGACCCCTCAGCGGGGCAGCTGGTGGCGGAGGCACAGCAGCCAGCCCTCTGCTGCCCAGACCCCAGCTCAGCCATCGGGATTCTCCCCGGAACCTGGACACTGAGCGGGAGGGGCACAGGCAGAGCCACTGGGCCCGGGGCCCCCTGGCCCCGCCCAGGCATGGCCCCGCACCCCAAACCAAGCGTGTGAGCTGTCCGTGCAGGGGCGCTGTGGATGCTGCCCAGGCCCAGGCGCTCGGAACCGAACTGCCCCCGGACCCAGGCCACGCCCCCGGAACCAAGGACCACGGACACGGTCCCCAGCACGCGACGCTTCACGGAGGTGACAGAGGGCAGGCGCGATGCCAGTTCTCCGCGCCCCCCTCCCGCCCCCAGGACGAGTGTGCGGACGGAGTCCTGGGGGAGGGGCCTGTTTTCTCTCCAGCTCGCTCCTATTTTCCAGATGCTCTGAGGACGTGTCTCCCTCTCGTAAACGAGGAGACGAATGCCGCTGTCTAACCGGAGCGTCTCCTTCCTGTCAGCGGCGAGGATGGCACCGGGGCCAGCCCCACCCCTCGGACGGACCCTCTGCCTCCGAGCTGCTGCAGGCAGGGGCTGGCCTGAATCGCATTAAACCCGGCGCTGGGTTCCGAGGGAGACCCGCGGTCCCAAACCCCTCTCGGGGGCCAGTCCGTCCTCCCAGGCGGCGTGCTCGGACCGGAGGGATGCTCTGCCTCGGGGCTGAGGCTCGGGCTTCCCTGCCTCAGGGCCTTCGCACGTGCTGTGCCCCTGCCCGGAGCCCTCTTCCCTAAGGCCTCCCACAGCTACCTCGGCCAGTGTTCAGGGTCTTGCAGGAAGCATCCCAGTACCCAGGCTCTTATGAAGAAAGCCCCCCACCTCCCCAATCTCCGCCCCCCCCACACACACACACTGGGCAAACCCGAGGCCTGGAAGATGGCCCGAGTGCCCACTGCAGACTGGGCTCCAGGAAGGTCCAGGCTGCTGGCCGTGCATAGTCTCCCTGACCCATCCAGGTCCCCCAGGCCCTGCCTGACCCCCACAGCACCGACACCAGGCCGTACCCGTTTCTCCATCCGTGTGGAGCCTCCAGAGCCCCTCGGCTGACGAGGGCAGAGAGTACGGACCTCGCCTGGTGACCCCGAGCCAGTGTCCGCTCTGCACCTCCGTTTGCTCGTCTGTGCAATGCAGTCCTCACCTCCCTGGCTGGTGTGGCCAAGGGCTGGTGACAGATGTCCCCCACAGCGTTCCAAAAACGGGGAGCCCCGGGGCTTTCCAGTGGGGTTCACCCTGGCTCCCCACAGCGGGTGGGGGGACAGGAGACAGCAAAGGAGGGCCAAGGCCGGTCCCCCCTGCCACCCTTCCAGCCAGGCCCGCCTTCCCTGGCCGGCCAGGAGGGCTTCACCGTGGCCCAGGGCAGCCACTGCCCCCGCCCGGAGCAGAGCCGGGCCTTCGGGGTGGGCCGAGCGCCTGTCCAGGGGCACCGCTCGAGGCAGAGGCAGCGCACCCCAGGCCTGCTCAGCGGCGGCGCCGCCGGGAGCGGGGGGCGGAGGGATGCAGACGCTGGTTTCCACCCCGTGAATTATTCAGCGCTCACTCCGCTCCTCCGAGGAGGCGGGAGGGAGTGAGTCAGAGCCTCCCACACAGAGCGGACAGGCTTGGGGGCTGCCCACGGGCAGGGTCCTCGGGGGCAAAGGGCCTGCAGGCGGCCAGGCTGTGCCCAGGGGGCCTCCAGGGCCTCAGGTGTGGCCCCGGCTCACTCCCTACCGGTGTCCTGGAATCCCAGCTGGCACGGGGGGCCCCCCGAGCAGGAGCCAGGCGGCCAGGCCAAGCGTGGCTGGCAGCGTGCAGAGGTGGCAGCTCACGGCCGGCAGGACAGCTGGGCAGCCGACAGCCCAGGTGCCCCAGGGGCTGCAGAACGGCGGGTGGCAGGGAACGTCGCCTCAGATCAGGCCCAGCCCCTGGCTGCGGACACACAGCCCCCGGCGGGTGAGGCAGAGCCCCCGGCGGGTGAGGCAGAGCCCCCGGCGGGTGAGGCAGAGCCCCCGGCGGCGGGTGAGGCAGAGCCCCCGGCGGCGGGTGAGGCAGAGCCAGTGCTCAGGTCCCTGCAGGCCCCCGGGCTGGACACACACACTTGCTGCCTCGGGCAGGCGGGCCAGCCCCTCGCCCCTTCCTGACCCGCTCAGCGGGGCCGGCGGCTGGCTCTCTGCCACGGAGAGGAGTTCGGCCCAGGTGGGGAGGGACACGGTCCACGGGGCCCTGGACTCTCCGGCCGTCTGGACGAGCCAAGCCGATGCCCCCACCCCGGGGCTGTGCAATGATTGCCAGACGCAGCCTGAGGGGTTCCAGGTGACCGGGCGCCGGGTCCTCGGGGCTGGAACCGGGCCTGGTCCCGGGTCCCGGGCCTGCTCCGGCTGCAGGGCGACCCTCAGCACACACCGCGCTGACCACCGCGGGTCCTCTGGGCGGGGGCTCTGCCCCGGGACGGACAGGGGCCTGGCAGGCGCTGACAGCTGGCGGAGGGGCTCCCCGGAGCCCCGGAAAAGAGGGCCTAAGTGACCCCAGAAGGGAAGCCAGGCTGCAGGAGGCCCGCACCCTCGGCGGGGGCAGGGGGTCCCCATGCCGGAAAGGACTGACCCGGGGAGAGCCTCACGCCGGGGGGCAGCCTGATGCCGGAGGGGCGGCCTTCGGGGAGGGCTGGCGGCCGGGGAGGAGGAGGGGCCGGCCGCGCCGATGGGGGAGGGGGCCCGGACCTCCGAGGGAAGGGCCGTGACCCGCGCCCGCCCGCCCGCGCCCCCGCCCGGCCGGGCACCTGCTGGTAGTCGGGGTCCTCGGGCCGGAACTGGCTGCCGGTGGGCTCCCAGCGCAGGCTCAGGTGCGGCAGCCGGTGCAGGAGGCTCACCCACCAGGGCGCCGCGTAGCTGACCCCGGCCATGGCGGCCCGACGCCGCCCACACGCGGCCGCCGCGCGCTCCTCGCCGGCCCGGGCGGGGGGTTCAGGGGCCCGCCGACCCCGGCCCGCTCGCCCGCATCGCCCGCGCGCCCCTGGGCCCGGCCCGGCCCGGTCGGCCCGGCTCGGCGGTGCTCGTCGGCGCTCGGCTCCGCTCGGCCGCCCGCGCCCGCCGCCTCTTTGTTCGCCGCCGCCGCCGCCTCCGCGCGCCCCCGCCCGCCGCCGCCGGCCCGCCCCCGCCCCGCCATTGGCCCGCCGCCCCCCGGGCCCGCCCCTGCGGCTCCCCGACTCCGCCCCCCATCCCGCCATTGGCCCGCAGCCCTCCGGGCACGCCCCTCGTGGCTCTCCGACTCCGCCCCCCACTCCGCCATTGGCCCGCCGCCCTCCGGGCCCGGCTCTGACTCCGCCCCCACGTCGCTATTGCCGCGTTGTGTTAGGCCCCGCCCACCAGGACTCCTCCCCCCGCCCCAGCGCTGGGCAGGAAAGAGGGGAGGACCAGTGCCCTCTCCCCGCCCGCGGATGGGGACGGGGCTCTGAACGCTGGCTGCCGGCCCCCCTCACCCCACACCTGCACCCCGCACCCCGGGCCGGAGCCCGAGCTCGCTGGATCCACTATTGCATGTTCATTAAGCTCCTGTGGGGTCGGCCCGCAGCGGCCGGGCTGGCCCAGGGGCCCAGTGACAGTCTGTAAAATACGGGCCATCTAGATCCAGACCTGGCGGGTCCCCTGGAGCTGTGGGTCTGGGCAAGTGACACCCCTCTCTGTGCACTCATATCCTCCCCGTGGAAAGGAGAGAGCGATGAATGTGACCCAGCACAGGCGGTACGGGCCTGAGGGCAGCCGGAGCCCCGCCCTGGCCCTCCCTTCTGGAAAGGTGTTGTCTCTGTCCAGACTGAGGGAAAGGAAGCCTGGCACCCTCGGGCTGGGAACTCAGGCCTCTGCCAGGGAGGGCCGGCCACAGATGGTGGGGCTCCGCAGCCAGCACTCCCCATTGGGCAGCCCCATGCCCGTTCCAGTGCAGGTGGGAGCCCCGACACGGGGGGACTGAAGACGCTGTGGTGCCTGGCCCTGGGCGCCCTCTCGCACCGGGTCCGTAGGTGTGTCTGTTGGCTCTGGCTCCTCACCACCCTGGGGCATTACTTCTGGATCTGCGTGAGAACCGGGCTCCCGGGCCCTACTGCACCCGGCTCAGCTGGCTCAGCCAGCTTGGCGAGCAGCCGGGCCTCCTGGCAGGCTGGGCAGTGGCTTCTCGGGAGGCCTGTCCATCTGCTCATCCCACTGCCCTGGCCCTCCCGCTTCCCTGGGATGAGGCGGCAGGCAGGAGAGGTGGGGGCAAGGCGCCTTTGCAAGCTGTGGTCCCTGCTCTCAGGATAATGTACAGACACCACAGAGGCTAACGGCGGGGCGGGCGGGAGGAGAGGGTCACACCGCCATCCCCTCAGGACTCGGTTCCTGGTTCCTGTGACCACCAGCAGCTCACACGGCCACAGACGCCCTGCTTTGCCCCAGCACCGGCGTGGCAGGCCCACCAGGGTCCCCGTGTGGAGGCACGGGGTCCGTGAACTTTCCAGAAGCCTCCCAGATGGCGCATCCTCCTGCCCAGGCCAGAAAGCCCGCCCCAGACACGACATGCCACGCTGACTCGGTGTGATGGCTCCCGTCCTGCTTCCTGGAAGTCGAGTCACTGTGGACGGAGGTCACACCAGGACCCAGGCTTTGGCCGGAGACAGAGACGCGCTGAGAGATGGAGGCAGAGAGGGGCGATGGGTCTACAGGGAGGACCCCGAGGAGTGCCGGAGCCACCTCCTTCCGGCACCGGGATCCTGACCTCAGCCTCCAGAACAGGACCGAGGTCCCTGCTGGATGTGTGGCTGGATCCTGGCCTTTAGTCCCATTTCACAGCCGGAGCCACTGAGGCCCAGATCGGGCCCTGGCTCAGGAGGCATGAGGTTGCCACCCAGTTAGGGAACCAGATTCCATCCGGCCACAGCAGGATGACCTGACACGGCACAGCCCGAGAAGTCAGAGGCGATGGGTCCGCAGTGCTGGCCGAGGCCTGGGGCGCGGGGATGAGCCGGCGATGACTCGGTGAGTCAGGGAGGTGACAGATAGGGAACTGCGAGGTCTCTCCCAGCAAAGGAAGTGGCCCCAGGCGGTGCCCCTCCTCCAGGGACCGGAAGCCTGGACTGCCTGCCCGGAGGACAGGAAGGACAGCTCTGCATGGCTGCTCCACCCGGGCCCCATCCTCCCTCTCTCTCTTCTTTTTTAAAAAAAATATATTTTTGATTTTAGAGAAGAAGAGAGAGGGAAAGAGACAGAAACATCAATGATGAGAGAAAATCATTGATCAGCTGCCTCCTGTGCGCCCCCCACTGGGGATCGAGCCCGCAACCCCAGGCATGTGCCTTTGACTGGAATCCAACCCAGGACCCTCCTGTCCGCAGTCTGACGCTCCATCCACTGAGCAAACCCGGCCAGGGCTCCTCCTCTCTTCTGTTTACAGACCTGTGCCCTGTGCACGCTCAGGCCCTCGGGGGGGCTCTGCCTGCTGTGGCTACAGCGAGGACAGTCACACTGAGCTCACGGGAACGAGAGAAGCACAGACAATGCCGGGAAGCAGCAGTGCGGTCTGTGGGGCCAGAGGGTGACAATGGCCACGTGCCGCTGGCGATGGATCGGAGAAGCGCCCGCGGCCCAGCCACACCGGAGGACCATGCGGCCGCGGGCTACAGCGGGGCCTGGCACACGGGAGCCGATGAGGAGCCTGCGAGGACCTCCACAGACAGCGGGGTTCCCTCACTGCGGGGTCAGGCCGGCACCTCCTCAGAGACGGACGGACAGGGGGTCAGAGGCGGCAGGGCCTGGCGAGGGGGGCAGTGAGCGCTGAGTGAGGACGGGGTTTCCTCCCGGGTGGTGGGAATGTTCCAGAACAGAGTGGTGATGGTGCAGACATTGTGAATGTGCTAAACGCCACTGAGTTAGACTCCGGATGGTTAACACGGGGATGAAACTCACCCCACAGCCTCCCCAAGACGCATGTGAGAGGGCCTCCCTGGGAATCTCCCTCCCTCCCTCCCTCTCTCCCTCCGTTTCCTTCTTCCTTTCCTCCCTCCCTCCCTCCCTCCCTCCCGGGAAGCAGTGTGTGTGGGTGTCCCTGGGAGGAGAAGCCCAGGCCCCAGGCCTGAGCCCCTTGGCAGCACCTAGGACGGAGGGGGAGGCGGGCCAGGCGCTGCCCAGGCCCAGGCCCAGGCCCAGCTTGGGGCTGGCCGGGGCTGGGCTGAGGCTCGGGCGGGGCCTCCCCAGACCCGTGGAGCCTGGAGAGAGGCCAGGGCGGGGCGGAAGCCAGGACAATGGAATCCCTGCAGCGGGCTGGCCCACGGAGGCTCGCTTTGTCCACGAAGAGCGGGAGGCGGCTTCCCCGGCGCCCACGGTGCTGCGCCCAGCCCAGCCTGCTCGCCCCGACACCGGCTGGTGGGCCCGGCTGCCGAGAACCACGGGCGTGCTCACGCCGGCACGGTGACACCCACGTGTCTGCCACACGCCAGGGCCAGGGCCACGTGTCCCCTGTGTCTCCTCCTCCGTCCGACGGTAAGGCATCGGCTGCGCTGAAGGCGGGGGCGTGGGAGTGCCAGCCGCCAGCGACGGCGCCGTCCGGAGAACCACCGCCACGCAGTGCGGCTACGGGTCAGAGCTAGGCCGCCCTGGGGGACGGTGTCCTCCCCCGGCCCTTCACCCAGAGCCTCGCCCCCATGACACAGGGCACCACCCTTTTGTAAGAGGAGGAGACGAGGTGCAGACAGAGGGAACCCCGTCT